CTCAAGGCAGCCCTGCTTCCCCTTTACATGCTGTCAGGCTTTTCGTGCCTATAGGGGTCAGTCCCACACATGAGGTGTACCTGTCCCCACGGGCCTTCCCATGTTCTGGTAGTAGTATGGGTGTTGTGTGACCTCCCCCATGGCCCACTCCTGCACCTGCTTCAGTCCTGCAGAGGACACCATGAGGTCAGGATGGAGTCGCCAAGGCTTGAGAAGGACATGCCCCACACAGGTTGGATAAGGGGCCAGTACCTACTGTGCCCTACCCCGAGGCCGCCTCCAGTCTGGCCTCCCTGCTTTTGCCTACAGAGTACTGGGCTCCCATCCTCCACAGGCATCTTGTGATGTCACATCTTCATCCTGTGTCAAATGGGCTTTGTGTTTCTATCTGAGGCTATACATTCCCTGCTGAAGCCAACCTGCACCCTTGGGAGTGCCTCTTCTTGGAGCCAGTACTGTAAGCCTTGCTTCTTGTTCCCTCCACAGTCCTGTGCATCCTGGACATGCCTTTCTGGTTGGGTTTGCAAAGGTGAGCAACTTTGGCACCTCCTGCCCCTGGTGACTGAGAGACCCTGGGCAGCCTTCTTCTCTGGCTGGGACAGAGCTGGAGCTGTGGGGTGAGGTGAGGAGGGTCTGCAGGGAGGGCAGCCTCTTTAGACTGCACATTTGGGATCCTCTACGGCCCCTCCTACGAGTCTGTTTTGACAATTTGGGAGCCGGAGCTGAGTGTTGCTTCTAGAAGGCTGGGGCAGCATCCTGAGGGGTGACACCTGCTGCTGTTGTCTTTTTCTGTCTTCCCTGCCCACAAAAGTTGTCTGATCTCAACTTCAGGTTATCTCCTTAGCCTGATGGGAGACTTGACCTTGGTCCTTGTCCTTTGACGGGTCTCTGGAACAGCTGATTTTGTGGGTGATACCCCTCCAGAGTGAGTCCCCTGTGGATGGCAGGAAAGTCTCTAGGTATCTGTCCTGAAAGGCTCTTGTAGTTAGTAGCTTCAATTCCACTCATAAGGTGCCCCCTCAGGCTTTTCATTGGCAGGTGTCCCTTTTAATATATTGGGGAGTTTGTGGCCTTCTTTTTTTTTTTTTAAGACAGAGTTTCGCTCTCGTTACCCAGGCTGGAGTGCAATGGCGCGATCTCGGCTCACCGCAACTTCCGCCTCCTGGGTTCAGGCAATTCTCCTGCCTCAGTCTCCTGAGTAGCTGGGATTACAGGCATGTGCCACCATGCCCAGCTAATTTTTTGTATTTTTAGTAGAGACGGGGTTTCACCATGTTGACCAGGATGGTCTCAATCTCTTGACCTCGTGATCCACCTGCCTCGGCCTCCCAAAGTGCTGGGATTACAGGCATGAGCCACCGCATCTGACCTGGCCTTCTATTTTTTATTTAACACCAATTATTGCTTTTTCCCTCTAAAAATATAGAATATCAGAAGGAAGGAAGTGAAAAACACCCAGTATTTCTCCATGAAGAGAACAGCTTTTGTTAACCCTTGGGTGCACTTTCTTCTTGTCTTTTTTTTCTGCTTATTGTCAAGCATCGCTTAACACCAGGGATGCATTCTGAGAACTGCACTGTTGGGTGATCATGTTGTTACAGAACGTCATAAAGTGCACTCACGCCACTTCCCCAGCCATGGGTGCCCCTTGGACTCATTGTGTCTTTCTGCTAATGAGAGCAGCTACGGTGTTAATTTTTCACCTGTTTCCTGCCAGCTGCCTGCAGGAGGGTAGTGGGGCCCTGTGGCCTGTGCATTACTGAAGCTCTCAGCCTGGCACATCTTGGGGACCACTCACTTCAGCCATCCCAGTCTGATCAGGCCCCTCACATGGGGCAGTTGGCATGGGTTGTACAGTGAGCTGCCTGCGTCTGAGTTTTGGTATTAATGAAAACTGGTTGATACTACAGATCCCCTGGGAGAGTGTGGGTAGGTGGGTTTCTTGTGTCAGTTTTTGGATGATAAATGGGTGGGTGGAGAAAGCAGTTTCCCTTGAAATGGACAAATTACTGTATTCAGGTTTCCTTGGTTGGTAGTGGCTCTTGGGCTCCATAATGGGAAGGCATAGCAGGAGATTTCCAGTGAGTGACAGCAGGGAGGCCAAGCCACTGTGTTTGGATGTGGTGATGGAGGAAATGTGAGGAAGGGGCTGGGAGGGCCGAGAGGGAAGGCTGCTTCAGGCTTCTCTGCCTAGGCTTGTAAGGCCTGTGTGTTACCCTCTCCTGAGGGGCAGCAGAGTAGCCAGGGCCCCCAGCCCCTGCCAGCGACTCAGTAGCAGTGAGGAGCCTGGCCACCAGAAAGACTCAGAGAACCTCCCAGTGTCCAGGCCCTCCTCTGAACTCGGCTCTACCCCACATGACCTTGACTTTTGCAGTCAAGGCCTTGATCTTGATCAAGGCTTTGATCTTGATCAAGGCTTCTCTCCAGGCTGAGGCTGGGCCAGCAGGTGGGGCTGGACCTGGGTTCTCTGAGACCACTTCCCTCATTCTGTAGACTGGGACTCAGTTGCCCACCTTGGAGGGAGAGATGGCTAGAGATGATGAAGTTTAGGAGTGTAGCCTGGGGGCCTGAAGTCTGGTGCTAGCACCTGCTGGCTATTGCAGTAATAATTATTAAGTGCTAGAGGGAAGAAGAATGCTATTTTATTATCCACAAGGACTGAGGACTAAGTCCTGCAATCATTTAGGCTCTGATGTCTTTTTCTCCTGCGACCTGTGTATGTTTTCTCTTTGCATAATGCCCTGTACAACTTATTTTTTTAAAAATTTTTTCTTTGTAAGCCAGATAATGGCTTTCTGAATTAACTTCTACTTTATGTGAATAGGTTTGTGTGTAATCATAATGCATAGGAAATTTATAATTTCCATTTATAAATAAACAGAAAAGACTACTTGTTCCCGCCTTTCCTGGCAACACAGTGGCAGGGTACTTTGGAAAGCTGAGTCTGTATTAGCAGGTGAATGCTGCCAGGTCAGGGGGTCCTGTGTTCTTCTAGTCAGTATTTCTGTTCATGGGCCCAGTGAATTCCTTCCTCTGAGGCTACAGCAGGGAATTGCTGCTATGAGAAAGCTCGTGTGTCTTGGCCTGTTATCACCCTGCTCAGGACTGCTTTGCTACAAAAGTCTGTTGTGCAGCTTTTGAGTTAGTTCCGTGATAAACCGAGAGAGGCCTTGCTTTCCTGTAGATGCCACAGAGCTCTGTGCATGCAGTCTGGCGGGTGAGTAAGCTTGGCCTCTGTGGGTGGCGGGGTTTGCCCTATGTGAGGGATGGGGAGAACTTGCACCATGGCAGCATGGGTCAGTCTACACTGGTCAGGGATTTAATATAATATATTTTCGTATTGTGTTAATTTTCAAGCATGACCAGGATTACTCTGGTAAACTTATTAATTTTCCTCAATCACACTTAAACGTCACTCGTAAAGTGTCGCTGAATGCCTGCCGTCAGTGGAGAGCTGTTCTGTATTTGGTGCCTAATTGTTGGAGGGCAGCTCAGGCACACTCGAATAGCACACACCATCATGTGCAGGTGAGGATCAAATGCACTTTCAGGGGAGCGAGCTTCTGGAGAGCCGACTAGAATTAGGATTTCTGTTGATCAACTTCTGCCTTTCCTTAAATTTTGGTGGAATTATAGTTCCATTAAAATGATCCTTAGCCAGTCAATTCCCACGATTGATTGTTGATACCTGCCTTTAGCTTGGGAGGGGACAGCGGTACCATGCATGCCATTGATCTTGGCTTCCTCAGGTCTCAGCATGGGGCTCAAGGAAGGGACAGCTGTCTGCAGAACAGCAAGCCGGGAGCATGGCACTGGCTGGGAATTGGAGCTCAGTAAAAGGGGCCCTGGGGTGGGGTGGATGCTTGGGATTTAAGAAAAACAATGTACATTGTCTAAGTGGGGCCATGGGGAGCTGGCAGGGGAGTCTGGCTTGGTCTCCATAGGGCCTTTTTTGTTCCTTAGGCATCCTTTGATCTAGAAAATGGCCTTTTCTAAGGCTTCATTGCAGCCTGCTTCCTCCCATCTGCCTAGGCTTTGCTCTGTGGCCTCAGCAGGGGCACTACCTGGGACGTTGGACCTCCCACCCTTGCACTTCAGCTAGAACCCATCCCAGGCACATTCTCCTTCCTACGTATAATATATGTTCTTATAATGTATTTTTTGAACATTTAAAAAATTGGAATATTCAAAATAAAGATAAATTTTAAAAAAATGATTGTAATCATTGCTACTTGGAGATGTTGTTACACTTGTGCTGAATGTCCTTTCAGATGATTTGATGTAGACAAATCATACTCATTTTATTAAAAAATTTTTATTTCAAAAACTTGAAGTTTAACATACCTACAGAAAACTACTCAGCTCATGAGTATAGCTTAATTATAACAGAGTAAGTAGACCCATAATCCTCTGACCAGTCCCTTCTAGAATCTTCATCAGCAACTGTTCATGCATGTCCAAGGGGTGGGCACAAGGGGTCAGCGTTACCTGTTTTCTGAACTTTATGTAAGTAGAATTATACCCATGTATGTGTGTGTGCACGTGTGTTTCTCTTTTTAGGAAAATAGGCTTATTCCATAAGCCCTGTTCTGTAACTTTCTTCGTTTAGCAATATGTGATGACCACAAATCTGTGTCTGTAAATACTGATCCTTTTATAAATCACTGACTGGTTTGAAATGTGTCCAACTGTGTTTAAACCATCTCATTGTTGTTGGGCATTTAGGTTATTTCCATTTTATTTATTTCCTTAATTATTTCCTTAGGATAAAGTCCTGGGAGGGGCTGGTGGGTTGGAGGCTGAAGGTTCCTGGTTGTCCTGCTACCCAGCGTGCCCTTGCTGGGTCCCAGCCCTAGCCTCCCTACCCTGGGGACTTTCCAGCCTCCTGGCCTTGGTACCTCATTGTGGGCTTTGTCCACTGAGGATGGGACCCCCAAACTGACAGCTTGTGCCTTGGCTTTGAGCAAATACTAATCACACTTTGTTTTATTTTCCAACAGCGCTGTGTCGTACTGCGTTTTCTAAAGTTCCCTCCAAATAGGAAGAAGGTAAGATGGGTAGATTTGCACCCAGACATTACAACAATTATTTAAGAAAACTGATTTTTTTTTCTGATGTAGAAATATTGATGCTAGTTGTAAAATTCAAAGATGATACAAGCATTTAGTGCAGAAAGTGGTATGTCCATCATTCCTGATGTAAAACTGACTGGGCCCAGCACGTTGACCCATGTGTCACTGTGGTAGTCCACGTGGCGCTCAGCCAGGAGCTGTCCTGGCCTGGCGTGCAGGTCCTGTTCAGACGGCCCTACTTGTGGCAAGGACCCCAGGACCAGGCAAGCTTTGCCTTGCCGAGTTCCTTAGCACTTGCTGCCTCAGTTTCCCCATCTGTGGAATTGTATGTGCCCATGCGGCAGCTGTCACCTCCACCCACCACCACCCCCCAGCCTCCCTTTCTATGACCTCTATCTCAGACACTCCAACCTGCCATCTCCCAAGAGCTCTTAAGGGAGGAGAGAGCCATGGGGGAGAGCTCGGGTGTTGCCGTTAGTGGTGCCACAGTGGGTTTGGGGTCGAGCTGGGCAGGCAGAGGAGGATAGGAGGGCCCCACTGTCTTGCAGTTTCCACCTCAGCTGCTGAAGAGAAACAGGCCTAGGTGGTTCTGGTTTGTGGAGCACATACCATGGAAACAAAGTCCATGCGGCTGCCTCCAGCCTTCTCTCTCCCTTCTTTGCCCCATTCAGTGACTGCAGAGCTCAAACCACCCTAACTTTAACTCCCCCAAGTCCTGGCATCTGTGGACCTCTTCAGATCTGTGTGGAGTGACTGGGGTAGTGTCTGCCAGGCAGCAGTTAGCTACATTTCCTCTGTAAATGACATAGTGACACACTGTGTGATCAGTAGAGACTTGCATGGTCACTTTTCTGTTGACCAGGGGGGCTTTTTAAATTTTTATTTTGAGACAGAGTCTCGTTCTGTTGCCCAGGCTGGAGTGCAGTGGTGCAATCTCCCACCTGGCTGACTGCAACCTCTGCGTCCCAGCTTCAAGTGATTCTCCTGCCTCAGCCTCCCGAGTAGCTGGGATTACAGGCACCCACCACCACGCCCAGCTAATTTTTGTATTTTTAGTGGAAATGGGGTTTTACAATGTTGACCAGGCTGGCTTCAAACTCCTGACCTCAGGTGATCTGCTCGCCTCGATCTCTCAAAGTGCTGGGATTATAGGTGTGAGCCACCGCACCCTGCCAGTGGGGACTTTTTTGTCAGAAACTGACCGCAGCTGTACTGGGCCACTGGGTATGTTCTGGAGTTTTCTGTCAGGCTTAGTTCTGACTGATCTCGTTGCATGAGCACAGGACACCTGCACTTGCCATACCTGGCAGGGCACAGTTGGGCATGGAAGCCAGGTTCTTTAGAGGCTATGGGGATACAGGGCAGCTGCTCAGTCCTGGGACCTTCTTGAGCATGAGCCAGGCGCTGGGCACCTCCGGGCCTGCCCTGGATGAGCGCCCACAAAGGCAGGTACCTGCAGGCAGTAGTGAGACTGCCAGGCCAGCCTTCCTGGATGTCTTCCGGAAGCAGCCTATCAGGGGCCCTCTGGGCCTTTCACCCTTGAGACAGGTTGAGGGAAGAGGGGATGATTTCTTGTCTCAGACAGTTTTATCATCTTACTGACTCTTTAAGAACCTCTGACTGGGGAAAGAATATTCTACATTTAGAGGCTAAAGAGTAAACTCTCTTTAGAGATTGGGATGTGAAATGTCAGAAGTTTTCAAAGCTACATTGCTTGGAAGGTGTGTGTAGGGGTTGCTTTGGGAGAAGGGCAGATGGGAGGCGGCAGCAGCACAGTCCTCAGATTGCTACCTTTCCAAGCCTCTGGGCCAGGGAGGGTGGCATGGTAGGGGAAGGGACGCTGGTGGGGAGGGGCACTGGGGACCTTCCTCTGGATCTGAGGGTTGTCACCAGGGTTCTGTCTGTGGCTGCCGCATCCCCCTGCCTGTGGCACCCCCCACAGGATCTGTGGTGGTTTTTACCTCTCCCCTTAAGCCAGGCTCTGCTGGGAGGTCCCATCACGAAGGCTGTCCTGTGCTTGTCTCTTACAGACTTCAGAAGAGATATTTCAGCACCTGCAGAACATAGTGGACTTTGGCAAAAATGTCATGAAGGAGTTTTTGGGGGAGAACTACGTTCATTGTGGGGTAAGTACTTTTTATTCATCTCTGAATTCTTGGGCACATTTTGCATTACCACCACCAACTTCCCAATGATGGTGTGGAACTTTGTGCTTAATGATAACTCCTGTCCAGCTAGTCTCCAAGTGTTTCTCATTTGCTGTGCTGGGTAACAGCAGAGCGGATACTGCAGTTTCTCTTCCTATCTGAGAAGCATGGGGTTCAGAGGGCCTACGTGAGTCCCTGCTCTTTAGGGCCCATCTCCACTGACCCTCATGGAGGCTCCTGCTCAGTGAGGGCTCTAGAGTAACATCCAGTACCACTGAGTCCCAAGGAATGGCTTTCCTCTCTGCCCCTGGGCACCACTGAACACAGGAAGCCCTACATGGGAGGATGGCAGGGCGTGCTGGAGCTGTCCTGGGGCGGCTCATCACATCTAGGAAGGGCCTTGGCTGGTCAATGTTAAAAGCTGGAGTTTAGAGAAAAGCCGTGGGAGTCCCTGGGCATTGCCGCCTGTGCTGGGGTCTGTGGGAACAGACCAGGGATCCCAGCCCTGGTTCTCCTCTTGCCTGGGCTGTCCCCTGAGCAGAACTTTAGTTTTGAGGCCTGGACAGGCCCCTGGGTCCCACGCTTCTGCGGCTGCTGCGGGTGCATGGCTCGCCTCCAGCCTGTTCACTGTGCTGTCGTGGTGTTGGGCATATTGGGAGGTCACAGTTCCCCTTTTAGGAAGATTTGTGGAGTTTTTCCCCAGGGCATGTCCCTTGGATGGTTCTGTGCCATGACCAGTTTTCTTCTTGAGGAAGGAACATTCTTGGGGGTGATATCCTCTGGATGCCTGTGGCAGGAGGACTCAGGTGGTGATGCCCTTGTTTGCCAGGGGCATTGGCAACCTGGTGACCTGGTGGGGTGAGCGCTGGCAGTGAGCACCCTGAGGGAGGGGAAAGGAGGGGGAGTGTTTCTGGCAGTGAGCACCCTGGCTCTGGGTTTGTCCTCAGTGGGAAGGGTCACAGTAAATGAACCAACAGCATACTGGCCTCAACCCACAAGGCCACCTTTGAGCGCATTTTCTCCACCTTAAGACACCGATAAAGTGAAGCAGAGCTTGCTTGCACTGCAGGTGAGCGTGTCCCAGAAGGACAGCTGCTGGGCTCTGGCACAGTGGGAAGGTGGACACAGAGCCCATTCCAGGTTATGTACCCCTCAGGGTGGCTGCGTCTGCAGGGCCCCACAGGGCCATGTGAGGGAAGAACAAATGTGTTGGCAAGTTAGGCAAAGTGTAGTGTTTCCCTCCTGTTTGTTTTAGGGCAAGATCCAACCGGGGACAAGATCCAAGAGACAGGGACAGGCACACCCTGGTTCTGGGCCCTGCTCAGTAGGGTGGCACTGGTTTAGGCCTATCTCCAGTGTTGGGTTTGGGAACTGGAGAGTTTAGGAAATGGGGATGGGGTAGAAGCTGCTTGCCTCATTCTTTCATTGTTGCTGGAGGAGTCTGAAAGCTCAGAAGTCCCACCTCGCTGCTGTGGGCCAAATCCTGGTGAGACTAGACACTCTCTGGCACTGGCCTCAGCTCCGTTGGAACCTCTCATGCTGATGGTTCTGTGCCATAGCCCAGTTTTCAGGCTGGGCACATGAGGAGTGAAGGGACAGCCAGGCATGTGGCTGTTTGTCCTTCTGAGCAGTCATCCCTTTGCCATTTGGAGGGTGATGCCTGGATCCCACATCTCAGCACCCAGGTTACGGGCAGCTCTGTGGGAATTCCAGGGGACAGCTCCAGGAGGGGACTTCTGTGGGCTTCCGTCTGGTCCTCTTAGGTAAATGCCTTATGCAGGAGCTGGTTGGTGCCATCCTCAAGTGGTTGGACAGTGGCATGGTCCACACTCGGCAATGTGGTCGGACTTTTAAGAGGATGCTTACTGTCAGCATTTTTTTTTTTTTTTTTTTTTGAGACAGGGTCTCGCTCTGTCACACAGGCTGGGGTGCAGTGGTGTAGTCGTGGCTCACTGTAGCCTCAACCTGTCAGACTCAAGTGATCCTCCTGCCTCAGACCCCCTCCCTAAGTAGCTGTGACTATAGGTGCACACAATCAGACCCAGCTAATTTTATTTATTTATTTATTTGTTTGTTTGTTGAAACAGGGTTTCACCATGTTGGGCAGGCTGGTCTTGAACTCTTGGGCTCAAGTGATCAGCCTGCCTTGGCCTCCCAAAGTGCTGGGATTATAGGTGTGAGCCACTGCACCAGGCCAACATTTATTTTGACTTTAAACACAGATATGCTTATTATAAAACCAATGATTCACAGCTGTTGAAAATAAACCCAGGTATGTGTTTCACCTGGGTGACTGTGAGTTCAGGCCGTGCGTGGGCAGACAGCGGTGTGGAAGGTCGTTGCCAGGTATGTGGACCTGAGACCTGCGTGGCCATGATGTCTCCCAGCCGTATGTGCTGTGGGGTGGGGGCCCAGGCAGAGTGAGGGCCTCCTGTGATTCTGGGTTATAGTTCTTACATACAAGGCATCCTGCATTAGCATCTGCGCCTTTTGTGCTTCTGCTTTCTTTAAAGTGGAGCAAGAACTTGGACTTCCTTGAGATGATCTGTAGGGTGGAGAAAGTGTGGTCTCAGTGGGCAGGATCCCAGCATTCTTAGCCTAGCAGATCTTCTGTGTCCCTTTGAAACTTTTTCAGAAGTCACAATTCTGCCACCCTGGAAACATGATAGGATGGTGAAGATGGTGAGCAACGTGGCTTAAATAAAAACCTTTCATTTGGGAAACTGCACAGAAAAGCCATGTGGAAGAAAATGCTGGACATTGGTTATGCTGCGTGCTCCAGGGCTGAGGAGGCACAGGCCGTCTTCCTGGGATGAGTGATTCCCTCAGATGCCGAGCTGCTCCTCAGGTGGGAGCATGAGGTTCTCAAGTTGTCTGAGTGGTCAGCAAGGGTCTTCCACATGGTCTAAGAACTGCTCTGGGTCCATGGATGCTATAAAGACCAGAACGGGCTCAGCCGGGTGCTCTCTGGCAAGGGACGCTGGCCTAGATGCTGGTCACCACTGTAGGCCCAGCCATTCTGAGAGCTGGCCACCCTGATTGCAGTGAAATATTGGTGTCTCTATTTAACCTGGACACGTCCTGAAAATAATAGAACAGCTTTTATTCCCAAAACCCACACACTGATTTTTTTTTTTTAGCAGTAAACTTAAAAAAAAAAATACGCATAACATAAAAACCTACAACTCAACTGTGTGTAGGTATGCAGTTCTGTGGCATTGTGCTTATGTCATTGTTCAGTTCACACTGAGAATTTCATGTCTTTTCTTACAGGAAGTTGTGCAGCTACCTTTAGAATTTGTGAAACAGCTTTGTTTAAAGATACAGTCTGAAAGACCAGGTAAGGGTGTTTCACTTGTTTCACTTATAAATATTGTTTGTGATTTAAAATATTTCATTTGAAAAGTGTTTGAGAGGCTGGGCTTGGTGGCTCATGCCTGTAATCCCAGCACTTTGGGAGGCTGAGGTGGGCAGATCAGATCTTGAGGTCAAGAGATTGAGACCATCCTGTCCAACATGGTGAAACCCTGTCTCTACTAAAAATACAAAAATTAGCTGGGCGTGGTGGCGCACGCCTGTAGTCTTAGCTACTTGAGAGGCTGATATAGGAGAATTGCTTTAGCCGGGGAGGTGGGGGTTGCAGTGAGCTGAGATCTTGCCACTGCACTTCAGCTTGGCTGCAGAGTGAGATTCCATCTCAAAGAAAAAAAAAGTGTTTGAGATGATATGTTTGAAACATGCAGTTTTCAGTAATCCTCTTGCCAGAAACTTCATTATCAGGGTAGAAATCCTGAGAGACCATGGATACAATTCTCTGTATCAGAAAACCAGAGTATGCACAGAATATGTGATGAAGAACCAATTAACACGGGCACAGTGGCTCTTGCCTATAATCCCACCACTTTGGGAGGCTAAGGTGGGCAGATCACCAGGTGTCAGGAGTTCAAGACCAGCCTGACCAACATGGTGAAACCCTGTCTCTACTAAAAAAAAAAATACAAAAATTAGCTGGGTGTGGTGGTGGGCACCTGTAATCCCAGCTACTCAGGAGGCTGAGGTAGGAGAATCACTTAAACTTGGGAGGTGGATACCACAGTTAGCAGTGATAACGCCACTGCACTCCAACCCCAGGCAAACATAGTCAGACTATGTCTCAAACAAAAAAGAGCCAGTTAATACAACAGAAAACAGCATGAAGGAGGAGCTGGAGGTGGAGGGTCTGGGGCAGACTTAGGAAAGGGAAGGGTCCCTGGGGGGCCCTGGGAGAGGTAAGGGAAACTGGGTGACCTGAGCTTCAGGAGGGAGGGCCTGGCCCAGGAGGTTCTGCAGCCCTGGGGGCTAGTGCAGGTCCATGGGTCCGTGTTCTTCTGAGGAACAGGGAAACCAGGGGCCTTCTGTGGCATCACCTTCCCCATCCCCATGCCGTCCTTCCCCAATCCCCTCCCATCCCTTCACTCCTCCCTTTCTCCTCCATCCCCACCCACTCCCTTTTCTGCACTTGCTGGTGGCCTTACTGACAGGAACCCGGTCAAAGCTTTTTTTTCAGTCAGTCATCAAAGAGAGAAATTTCAAGAGTTGAGGGTGGAAATGTCTCTGCCTGGAGCACAGCCAGGCAGCAAGGGTGTGGAATTGGCCAGTATCCAATGTTTTCCTGATTTGATTTGGAAAATGAAAGCAGACCATTCTCTGGGTCTACAGTCTCTGGCTGGGCCAGGGAGGAGTGGGCTTCATGCTGTGGGACAAGTGGGGGAGGCGGGAAGGCCACAGGACAGTGGCTGGGCTCCAGTTCCCCCTCCCAGTGAAGGCAGTCTGAGGCCGGCTCTAGGGTACTGCCTGCGACTGCTCTGATACTCAGCCTGCCATTTCATAACAACCATGGGAGGTCTAACCACAGTGATAAGAAGCAGTCTTGGAGTAAGGCTCGTTATGTTAAAGGAGGAAAGCCTGTCCCTGGGGTGCCTGGGGCCCAGGCTTATTTGGCTCTGTCCACACCATGGCTTCCAGCAGATTTGGTGCTGGGAAAATACTGGTGCACTGGGGACTGGGAAGGGTCTAGATGTGAGAAAAGGTAGGGCCTGCAGCCCCCTCCTCTTCAAGTTCCTGGGCTAAGGGTGTTGTGGAATTAGGGGACCATCCCCAAGACCACCCTAAGGATTGATAATATGCTAGAAGGACCAACAGAACTCACTGTTTTACTCATTCTTATGGTTTATTACAGGAAAAAGATAAAGATGGAAGCAGCCAAGAGGAGAGGTGCAGGGGCGGGGTCTGGGAGAGACCTGGCATGAACTTCCGGGTGTTCTCTCCCTAGGAATTATGTGAACAGCATTCACTCTCCTATCGACCATGTGTGACACACACATGGAATGTGCCCACCAGGAAGCTCACCAGGTCTTGGTGTCCAGAGTTTTCATTGGGGCTAAGGCACATCGACATGGCTGACCATAGTCTCCAGGCCCTCCAGTGCTTGAGCTGATACCACAAGGCCTGAAGCTACCCCTTCCATAAACCAAGTTGTTACTGTATGTGTCCCACAGTCCCCAGGGAAACATGAGGTTTTCATCAGGCACAGAGATGATACCCAGGAATCAGGGGCAAGGTGGGGCCTGTCTTGGACAGGGGTAATCTCATCTCTCTCACTGACCCTGCTCCATGTGACCCTTGCTCTGTTTTCCAGAGTCTCGCTGTGACAAGGACCTGGACACTCTCAGTGGTTACGCTATGTGCCTTCCCAATTTAACCAGACTTCAGACCTACCGCTTTGCAGAGCACCGACCAATTCTGTGTGTAGAGATTAAGGTGATCTGTCGAGGGGGAGATGGTGTGGGGAAAGGGGAAAGGTCAGTTCTGGGTAGTGAGTCCCAGAGTTGTGTGCCTTTGGTTCTAGTTCCCACTGAAGTGACTGGTACCCACCCTTGGCTCCTGGAAACTCCACTTGCTTCTCCCTTCCACAGCCCCCACTTGCACTGCGATTCCTGCCATGGCTCACAGACCCTAGGTTTATGCTCATTCCTGGTAGCTCATGACAGGAGACCCCACCCACCCTGCATGTCTGGGCTGGAACAAGCCCTGGTTGAGGGTCACCAGAGGGAAACGTATTGGGGCCCCCCACCGCATTTTGCTCAGAAGGCACAGCCTGCCAGGGTCCCCTGGCTTTCCTCTGTGCCCCTCCCCGCTGGCCTTGCCTGCTTGGTGCTTGGCTGCTGCTCGTTGTGCTGCAGGAGTCCCATCCACAGGTTCCCTATAGACTGGGGAGCTCTCCGTGTCCTGCTCGGGATGGATTTTCCTGGAGGCACAAAGGCCAGTGTGACCCTCAGAGGCATTGATATGTCATCACCAGGAGTCCTGAATTTCTCTGGTGCCAGGCAGTGGGGGCCGGATGGGCCAGGGGCCCCCTTGCTTCAGCTCTCTGCTACCCAGGTCGGGGGTGTCTGTCAGGGTCCCTCAGGAAACTGCCTCGAATGTTCTGGCCTTTGTTCCCCTCCTCCAACTCTGAAGCAGCAATTTCTGGGTTACACTCTTGGCCTGAGCTCATGCCTCATGGTTCTCCTCGGTTGTGGGTGGACATTCTGCTTCTGCAGCCACGATCTCCAGTGCCCTAGGCTCAGTGCAGGCCTGTGTATTGTGTATGCTCAGAGGCTGCAGCTTTTAGAGGGCAGTGGGGCTTCCTTGACCTTCTGGGAGCCTAGTAACTGTCATATGGGCCCCTGTCAGGCCACATGCTAGTGTCAGCAGGAACAATAGTTCTGCTTCTTGGAGTTGGCAGTCCTGGGTCCATCTCTACTCCTAGAATCTTGCAGTCACAGTCTTGAATGAAAGCACGAAGCTACTGTGTGTTGTACTTATGTTAAGCCAGCATGAGGCACCACTGACCCTCCTCAGTGGGAGTTCTGGCCATGGGTCCTCTAGCAGAGATGTTTGTGTGATCTGGTGCAGGAAGTGTTGTTCTTGCTGGGAGCTGCAAATGAAAACAGCTTCTGAGGCCGTTTATTCCTAACACTTGCTGCACTCATTATCTTGTAGTCAATGATGTGTCTACTTAGAGGTATATGATTTCTTCCTAAATATTTTTCCTCCTCATTTGTTTATTTTACAGCCAAAATGTGGGTTCATTCCTTTCTCGAGTGATGTCACGCATGAGATGAAGCATAAGGTCTGTCGTTACTGCATGCACCAGCACCTCAAGGTGAGGAGAGCCAATGCCCAGCTGTGGGTTACTCTGGGCTCTATGCAGAAGAGCTGCACACTGGCAATCTGGGCTGAGGCATGGCCACCCACAGTTTTCAGAAGAGTAAAAGAAAATATGGATACTTTTAGTTGACATTTTATTTTACAAGTGATTCATGTTCACCTTTTTTATTTTTTAAATTTAGAGACAGGTTCTATATCACCCTGTCAGGCTGAGTGCAGTGATGCAGTTATACCCACTGCAGCCTCAACGTCCTGGACTCAAGCAGTCTCCCTGCCTTGGCCTCCCAGAGTGCCTGGTGTAAGCCACTGCGCCCAGCCCATGTTCGCCAGATTCAGTCCTTTAAAATATATAATTCAGTGGTTTTAGTCTCTTCATAAGGTTGTACAATCACCACTTCTGTCTAGTTGCTGACATTTTTATCACTTCAAAGCAAACCCCTGTCCCTGTTAGCAGTCACTTTCCATTCCCCATTCCTGCCATGTCTTGGTAACCACCAGTCTACATTCTGTGTCTGTGGATTTCCCTATTCTGGACATTTCATATAAATACTATCACAGTATGTGACTTTTTGTGACTGCCTTCTTTTACTTGGCATGATGTTTTTGAACTTCATCCATGTTGTGACATGTGTCAGCACATCATTCCTTTTATGGCTGAATAATATTCCATTGCACGAATGTACCATGTTTTGTTTATCCATTATTTATCTGTTGAATGGAATTCCAGTGTGTGGGTTGTTTCTGCCTTTTGGCTATTGTGAATAGTGCTGCTGTGAACCTTTGTGTAGGTACTTGTTTGATTCCCTGGTTTCAGTTCTCCGAGGTAGATTCCCAGGAATAGAATTGCTGAGTCTTAGAGTAATCCTATGTTTAACTCTTTGAGGAACCTCCACACTGTTTTCTACAGCAGCTGGACCACTTTACATTCCTAGCAGCAATGTGTAACAGTTCCTGTGTTAGTCCATTTTGTATTACTATAAAGGAATACCTGAGGCTGAGTAATTTACAAAGAAAAGAGGTTTATTTGGCCCACAGTTCTGCAGGCTGTGTAAGCATGGCATCCGCATCTGCTCAGCTTCTGGTGAGGCCTCAGGAAGTTTAAAATCATGGCAGAAGGCAAAGGGGGAGCCAGAGTATCACATGGCAAGAGAAGGAGCAAGAGAGAGAGGGAGGAGGTGCCAGGCTTTTTTAAACAACCAGATCTCTGTGAACTCATAGAGTAAGAACTCACTGATTATTGTGAGGACAGCAGCACCAAGCCATTCATGAGGGATCAGTCCCCATGACCCAAACACCTCCCACTAGACCCACCTCCAATTCTGGCGGTCACATTTCAACATGAGATTTGGAGGGGACAAAACATCCAAACCATATCAGTTCCAATTTCTCAACATGCTTGTGGTTATTGCCATCCTGATGTTTGTGAGGTGGTATCTCATTGTGGTTTTGATTTACTTTTCCTTAAATGATGTGATATTGAGTATCTTTTCATGTGCTTATTGTCCATTTTGTATCTTCTTTGGAGAAATGTCTATTCAAGTTCTTTGCCCTTTTTTTTGGTGAGAGAGAGGTCTTTCTCTGTCACACAGGCTGGAGTTTAGATGTCTATTCAAGTTCTTTGCCCTTTTTTTTTGGTGAGAGAGAGGTCTTTTTCTGTCACCCAGGCTGGAGTTTAGATGTGTGATCACAGCTCACTGCAGCCTCTGCCTCCTGGGCTTAATGGATGCTCCCACCACGTCACCCTCTTTAGTAGGTGGGACTACAAGTGCATGCCACCACACTCAGCTAATTTTTGTATTTTTCATAGAGATGGGTTTGGCCACTTTGCCCAGACTGGTCTCGAACTCCTGAGCTCAAGCTGTCTGCTCACCTTGGCCTCCCAAAGTGTTGGGATTACATGCATGAGCCAACATGCCCAGCCATTGGCCCACTTTTAAATTGATTTTTTTGGTTACTGAGTTGTAAGTGTTCTCTATATATACTGGATAGTAAAGCCTTATGAGATGTGTGATTTGCAGATATTGTTGCCTTTTTTCTCTGTGGATAGTGTCCTTTATGCACAAACGTTTTTAATTTTGATCAAGTCCGGTTTGTCTATTTTTTCTTTTGTTACTTGTGCTTTTGGTGTCATATCCAAGAAATCATTGCCAAATCTAATGTCATGAAGCTTTTCCCCTATGTTTTCTTCCAAGAGTTTTAGATCTTACATTTAGATCTCTGAGCCATCTTGAGTTAATATTTGTATGTAGGGCTAGGTATGTGTCCAACTTTATTCTTTTTTGTTTGGTTATCCAGTTTTCACCACACTTGTTGAAAACACTGTCTTCCTCCAAATAATAGTCCTGATACCCTTGCTAGAGACCTTTTGGACATATATATGAGGATTCATTTCTGGGTTGTCTATTTTAGTCCACTGGTCTATATGTATGTCTCTATGCCAGTACCACACAATTTTGATTACGGAAGCATTCTAATATGTTTCGGAATCGGGAAGTATGATGCTTTCACCTTTTCAGCTTTTTCAAGATTATTTTAGCTATTTGGGACCACTCATGCTTACATATGAGTTTGAAGATTGGTTTTATTTCTGCAAAAAAAGGCTGTCAGAATTTTGATAGAGATCACATGAATCTAGATCACTTGTGGTATTACTGTCTTAACAATAGTGTCTTTTTTTTTTTTTTTTTTTGAGGTGGAGTCTCACTCTGTCACCAGGCTGGAGTACAGTGGCACGATCTCGGCTCACTGTAGTCTCTGCCTCCCAGATTCAAGCAATTCTTCTGCCTCGCCTCCTGAGTAGCTGGGACTACAGGTGTGTGCCACCATCCCTGGCAAATTTTTGTATTTTTAGTAGAGATGGGGTTTCACCATGTTGGCCAGGATGGTCTTGATCTCTTGACCTCGAGATCCTCCCTCCTTGGTCTCCCAAGGTGCTGAACAGTAGTAAGTCTTATACTCCATGAACATGGGATGCCTTTCCATTTATTTAGGTGTTCAGTTTTTTTTTTTCAGCAATGTAGTTTTCAGTGTACAGGTCTTTCAGTACTTTAAGTTTATTCTAGGTATTTTATTCTTTTGGAATATTGTAAATGTGATTGTAAATAAGCTGCTTCCTTAATTTTCTTTCGGATTTTTCATTACTAATATATATAGAAGCAACTGATTTTTGTGTGTTTATCATATATCCTCTGACTTTGTTTAATTTTTAAATTAGCTCTTGGAGCTTTCTTGTGGGCTCTTTGGATTTTTCTGTATATAGGATCATATCATTTGTGAATAGAGGGTTTTTCTTCTTCCTATCCAATTTGGATGCCTTTAGCTTGTCCATTTCTACTAAGAAATCATTTGAGATTTTGATAGGGATTCTGTTGAATCTGTACATCATTTTGGGAAGTATTGCCATCTTAACAGTATTAATATTTTGAACATAGTATGAACATAGAATTTCTTTCTGTTTATTTTTTTGTTTCCTTCAATGGTGTTTTGTATCTTTTCATGTGTAAGTCTTTTACTTCTTTTGTTAAATTCATTGCTAAGGGTTGGGCATGATGGCTCATGCCTGTAACCACAGCACTTTTGGAGGCTGAGGTGGGTGGATCACTTGAAGACAGGAGTTTGAAACCAGCCTGGTCAACATGGCGAAATCCTGTCTCTACTAAAAATACAAAAATTAGCTGGGCATAATGGCTCGTGCCTGTAATCCCAGCTACTTTGGAAGCTGAGGCATGAAAAACCCTTGAATCCAAGAGGTAGAAGTTGCATTGAACCAAGATCATACCCCTGCATTGCAGCCTGGGTGACAGAACAAGACTCTGTCTCAAGCAACTATAAATCTTTCTGTAAGTAACTGCTTTCTCTTAATCCCATAAATTTTGGTATGTTGTGTTTTCATTTTTGTTTATCTTAATTCTCTGATTTCGCTTTTGATTTCTTCTTTGACCCGATGATAATTAGAAATGTTTACTTTTTACATATTTGGGAGTCAAATTTCCTTTTGTTATTGCTTTCTAATTTCATTCCACTGTGTTTGGAGAAAATTGTTTGCATGATTTCACTCTTAAAACTTATCGAGACTTGTTTTGTGGTTTAACATAAGGCTCCTCCCCAAGAATGTTCCATGTTTGCTTGAGCAGAATGTGTAACCTGCTGCTGCTGGATATAGTTTTCTATAGATAGGTTAGGTCTAGTTGGTTTTTAGTGTTGTTCAAGCCTTCTTCCTTGTTGACTTTCTATCTAGTTGTTGTGAGTATTAATTTCACATAATAACTTAAAGAGTATAGTTTAGCTTAATACCAACTCCATTTCAATCGTAGACGAGAGCTTTACTCCTCTAAAGTTTTGCTGCCTCCTTCCACCTTTGTGCTGTTATTGGGACACAAATTAGATGTTTCCACATCATGTTCTGGGCGACACAGATTTATAATTATGACTTTATGCAGTTGACTCTTAAATTATATAGAAAAAGAGTTACAAAATGTGTTTATACCTTCTTTTATGTTTACCTATGTAGTTACCTTTACTGATACTCTTTATTTCTTCCTGTGGATTTGAATTACTGTCTGGTATCCTTTATTTCATCCCAAAGGATTCCCTCTAGTAATTCTTGTAGGGTAGGTTTGCTAGCAACAAATTCTTTTAGTTATGGTTTATTTGGCAATGTGTTAATTTCTCTTTCATTTTCAAAGGATAGTCTTGATAGATCTAGAATTCTTGGATGGCACTGAGGATATGTCATGATCCTGCCTCCTCCTTTTAGCACTGAGGATATGTCATGATCCTGCCTCCACCTGGCCTCCATGATTTCTAATGAGGAATCAGCTGTTAATCTTAGGGACAGTGCTTTATATGGGATGAGTCACTTCCCTTGTGCTGCTTTTTAAGGTTCTCTCCTTGTCTTTGTCCTGTGACAGTTTGATTATGGTGTGTCTAGGTGTAGATCTCTTGGTCTCTATCCTAAAATTTACCCGTTTTCTCTTCTGCCTACTCAAGTCTGCCCTTGAGCCCCTCTAGTTACTTTTTCATTTTAGTTACTGTACTTTTCAACTAAAGAATTTCTTTCTTCCTTTTTTTCTTTTTAAACAGTGTCTTGCTCTGTCACCCAGAGTGGACTGCAGTGACATGAACATGACTCACCGTAGCCTTGATCCCCCTGAGCTCAAGCCATCTTCCTGCCTCAGCCTCCACCAAGTAGCTGGGACTAAGGTGCATGACACCATGCACAGCTAGTTTTTAAAATTTTTGTGGAATGGGGTTTTGCCATGTCACCCAGCTGGTCTCAAATTCCTGAGCTCTGGCAGTCTGCCTACTTCAGCCTCCCAAAATGCTGGGATTACAGGCATGAGCCACCATGCCTGGCCAGAATTTCTTTTTGGTTCCTTTTTGTAATTTGTACCTCTTTAGTGATATTCTCTATTTGTTGAGAAATTATTCTCCTTGTTCATTTTGGTTCTTTGTCCCTAGTTTCCTTTAGCTCTAATCATATTTAGGTTGGTTGAAGTCTTTGTCTAGCAAGTCCAGTATCTGGGCTTCCTCAGGGGCAGTCTAGAGATTCTTTTTTTCCTTGTATATAGACCATACTTTGTTGTTTTTTTCCATGTTTTATGATGATAGCTTGAAAGTGGGCATTTGAAATAATATAATGTGGCCCCTCTGCAGTTAGATTCTGTTCCCTCTGCAGGATTTTTAATTGCTGCTTTTTGTAGTTGTTACTGTTTGTTTAGGGACTTTTCTGCGCTAATTTTGTGAAGTGTGTATTCTTTGTCATATGTGGCCTCTAAAGTCTGCTCAGTTAGCTTAGTGGGCAGCTAGTGGGTCAATAGATAGTTTCTTCAATGGCAGGCATGCCAGAATGAATAAGTCTCCTAGTCTTTGCTGAGGAGCTCTGTTTGTGTGTTGGGGCCCACTCAATATTCACTAGGGTGGTTGATAATTTTGCCTTAGCCTTTACTTCCATGGAGCCTCAGATCAGCTCAGGTAAGAGCTGAGGACCTTCTCAGATCTTCTCTGAGTCTTTGTAAACGGTTTCTGGATTCCCAGGTGTATGTTGGAGCTTTTAGAGCCTCTGTACATCTTGTTACTCAGCTTTTCCTTTTTAGCTTTTGTTAACCATTTGCTCTTTATTCACCTTCCAAGGAAACCATCAAGTTAAACAGTTGCCTCTAAATGTTGTTGACATATGCCCCTGGGGAAAAGGCCTCCTGCATGGGTGAGTTCTGAGCCAGGTCAGTGAAGACAGCCTTGCAAGTGTGATCTTTCTGGGAACCCAGAGATAGGTCAAATAGTGACTGTCTGAGAGTGAGGCTTTGGAGATGCCCTGCCCTCTTCTGTGCTGTCTGTGGCTGCCAGGCAGTTGGTTTTCACTGTGATTGCAGCTGCTGGTTTTCAAGGTTCCCTTGGAGATAGAGATAGGGGGTTGGGAATAGGGTATTTAAAGTGCCAACAAGCTTATTGATCTTGGTTAGATTTACTTAGCTGTTTTTCTTGAATAAATGCTTCGTGAATTGTTTCAAGTCTGTGCTCAATTTCCAGACTTCAAAAATTTTGATTGTGACTTTTTGACCAGTTTTCTGATTGCCTTTAGGAGGATAGAATTTCTGGAGCTCATTGTGCCACCATTTCACCAACATCACCCCTTCTTTTCTTGTGGTGTGATTACTAGCTAAGCTTTTAGGAGAAAGATGGTATGTGAGCCATGCCCCTTAGGATACGATTTTCATGGTCACAATTCACTTTCAACATAAGTGACACATTTTTAAGAAATACTTTGTACTATAAAGCACTACCTGCTCATATAACCGGTAACATATGACATGGCATGAATTGGATGACCTGCCTTCCCAGGTAACTCATGTTGTCAGATATGTTTGTGTATCTTTCCAGACTTCTTCCTGTGCCCACAAAAATCTGTGTGTAATTCAGTGGAAATGAAGTGATCTCTCTTCACATGTTCTAATGTTTACATTCCTGTACGTGCACACACACACACACACACACACACACACACACAAAATGGGATCATGCCATATGTACTTGGTCTAACTGCTTTGTTCATTTGATCCTTGAGGATTGTTTGTGATTGTTTAGGGCTTTTTTAGTGCATATTTGGATATATGCATGTTTATTTGTACATGAGCTTTTTTTTTTTTTAAGCAAAAGTGACATTACACTGTATCTGTTGTTCTGTCAGTTGCTTTTTTTCCTTGAATAAATCTTGGTAACTTTTAACTCTGCCTCTTTCTGGTTGTGGCTGCATATCATTTATGCATTCCTTCATTCAATAAATTGCTTGTTGTATGCTGGCCCCACTCGTGGATGGGCTGTGATTTATTTTGTCATTTCCCTACTGATGACTGTGTCTCTTGGTTTCAGGCTTTGCTGTTATCAGTAAGGCTGCAGTGGACATTCTTGTCTCTGTACCTTTTTGCCCTGTGCTAGTTTTTCTAGGTTCCTTGTAGATTTGCTGAGTCAGGGGACACAGACATTTTAAAGTTTGGTGGATACCACCAAGTTGTCTTTCAAAATGTTATGCCAATTATCTTCCCACTGGCAACATGACATTTCTTGTTAATGGTTAGTGGATATATAACTTCTAAAGGTTTGTTACTCACATTACCAGAATGTTGCCATGTAATTTGAAGGAGTTTGCTGCTTTCTTCCCTGCTCCTGTGAAGGGCTTGCTTGGAGGCCATGCCACATCACGTCTCACAGATGGGGCCAAGGTTTCCCTGAATGGAAGTCAAGTGGCTCCCTCCCCCACTCAGCGATGTGCACCTGCAAAGGTGGTGGCACCTTTTCCAGGGCAAGGCTTCAGCCCGTCTTCATTGTCTTCATCATTGATGCTGTTCTGTGTGTTCAGTTGGCACAGTGCAGTCACCAGCACCAGTTACCTCATGCCCTCCTGTTGGTGTTTTCACAGGTGGCAACTGGGAAGTGGAAGCAGATCAGTAAATACTGTCCCCTTGATCTCTACTCAGGGTAAGAAAACACTTCTCCTTTGGCCCCTTGTGTCACGTTTCCTGGAGATGGGTGGGGCGGGGACTCAGTGCCTGTGGGGGGTACTCTGTGAGGTAGGAAGTGGGGGAGGGCCCCATTCTGTCTTCAGGGCTCCCCTTCGCCATCAGCGCTGTAGACACCTGGGGCTTTGTGCTCCACTCCTGTCTCTGTGCTCAGTCTTAGGTGCTTGCTCACGTACTGGTTGTTCCCTCATCCGAATTGTGACCAGATTTATCTTCTACTTATATTAGAAATCAGCTGGTGCTCAGCCTTGACCTCCTAGTCTGGGACCTCATAGTTTGGTTGTTTGTGCCTTTGTTCTCTCCCTCCTCTGCGGATATTAAAACGTCTGCTGCTGCGGTGGCCATTTCTGTCTGGGCAAGGCCTGCTTGCAGCCTCTGATCAGGCACCTGAGTTCTGCTCCCCACCTTGGCACTGCCTCCATACCCCCCGGCCTTCAGAGCTTTGCTGTGTGCCCCACACACTACTCACCTGGGGCAGCCCAGAGTCTTTGTGGTTAGGAAGGCAGTAGTGTCTGGGAGCTGGGGAGGGTCAGTCAGCAGTGGGGCCTGGGGTTCAGTGGGCAAGGCCCTGAGGCCAAGGGGCAGCAGAGGGAGTCGTCAGGACTTAGGGTGGGAGCAGATGGAGGGAGATAGGACCTTGGCAGCACCTGGGATTCAGGGCAGTACCTCCCGGCCCTTCACCCCACCTTATACGCCCAGGAGAGAGTCCTTGGCCACAGGGCGGTGTGGATTTGTGAGCCTTTGCTGTCCTTTTTGATCAGCACAGCTCCTCTTTCCAATCTCCTTTCCCTCCCTGGGACCCCCATTACTGCAGAGCTGTTCTGGTGAGTCCGGTTTTTCTCACTCAGCTGCGTGAGTTTCTTTACTCTTTCCTCCCATCCTGCCCTCTGACCATTCATTTCGTGCCCCTGCCTTTGTCAGTGCTTAGCACTGCCTCTTGAGTGCGCACCTGGTCGTCATGTCAGTGCTTTTGGTTAGATGCTCTTGCAAACTTCCTGGAACAAAGATCAAACACAGAGTTGTCTTTGGAAGTTAAAAAGTTCACAGACGTCGGGAATGTTCATTCAGAAGGCGGCACCAACACTGCTTGCTCCATGGCTTCAGCGAGGCTAGCAGTGCGCTCACCTGTGCGTCCCATGTGGATTTCCCTTTGCACCTAAAGGCTGTAAATTGTGAAGCATTCGTAATAAAGAGTAATTGTTGATAAGTTATTAAATTGTCAGAACATTAGTAGGGAACCCTCCCTGGAATGTTATAGAATGCAGGCTTTCGGGAGTCAGCTAGAGAGTGCATGGATACTAGGCGCCTTGCTGAGTGCGTGCTCGTGGGCTCTCCTCACTGTCAGGGCCAAGTTCTCGTGCCTGCACAGGCAGCTTGACCCCCTGAGGTTCCTGTGTGGAGGTAGGGGAGGAGACTAGCCTTATAGCTCTTTGCTTGGAGGGCGAGGCTCTCTGGGGCTCCAGCCTCTCCCTGGTTCCCAGCACCCGCTCCATGGCCCATCACGGGCTTTCTGCTGCCCCTGAGCCTTTGGAAGTTGCGGCAGGAGGAACAGGGGAGGCAGAGCAGCTGTTAACCCCTCTTGGGTTGGGCCGTGATGCTCCTGGCTGGGTTCCCACTCCTGTGCCTAAGTTGGGTCCCTCACATCTCCCACAGACCCAGGGGTCAGGGCCAACCCCCCACATCTCTAGTGAGTGTATGCCAGGCTGTGGAGCTGTGTCTGTGACCCTCTGGGGAGGGAGCCCATGGCAGGGCTGTAGTGAGGGGAGAATATCACCATTTGGACCCAGCTGGACTCTGGGTTTCCCAGTGACTCCTGGGAGTACCCACCATTAGCCACGAGCAGGTGTGTGTGCAGGGACAGGTCAGTTCCAGCTGCTTTTAAAGCATGTTAATACTTTTCCCTTTTAGAAACAAACAGAGAATGCACTTTGCTTTGAAGAGTTTGCTACAGGAGGCACAGAACAACTTAAAGATATTTAAGGTAAGAGCTGCTTTGATTCTATGGTGGTTTCGGGGTAGGGCTGGCGAAGGTTCCGGTGACTTTACAGACAAGGGTGTTGGGCTGGGCTGCACGTTGTGTGTGTCTGACATCCCCTTTGGGCTCCTCATGCCCTTTTAGTTCCAGACCTGTCTTTCCCTGACTTTTTTCTGAGTGACTGTGGGTTTTCCATGACTATTCCTTCCACAAGTACAATATCTGAGTGACTGTGGGTTTTCCATGACCCTGGGGTGCTCGACCAAAGCCCCAACAACTGCTGAGTGGGCCTTGGTCTGTTGTGATGAGCAGACGGGTGAACCATTGGTGAAGATGGCTCTGGCACTATCTGGGCTGGCATCACCTGGCCTACTGGCAGTGGTGTCCAAGGGGGAGCAGGTGGGGTTAGGGCCTGGCAGGATTGGAGTGTCTGTGGAGGAGAGGCTGGGGGGAAAAAAGGGGATGAGATGTAGGGCAGGGTAGGACTGGGTGGCAGTCGGGGTGCTGGGCCCATGTTGGACATGTATCCTCTGGGCTCCCCCTTGTCATCACCCCAGTCCCAGTTGTAGCCTCATAATCCATCACACAGAAGTGACACCTGGGGACAGAGTTCCGGGGAGCTGACAGCCATGACAGGTGGATCCTTCAGAAAAGGCAGGGCTGTTGAGCACGAGCCTCTCAGCTTCCTGTGTGCCGTGGTCTCGACAAGGTCTCGACTGGAAGTCCTGGCCCCTCTCCTCATTTCCTCCATGTGGCTGGCGTCCTGCTGCCCGTCCTGCTGGCGTCCTGCTGGATGCCTCTCAGCAGTGGGCAGATGGGGCCTGCTCTTGACCTGCCTCTCCAGGTCTTGCTTAGAAACCCCATGGTGCTGGCTGCTGGGCAGTGAATTGGCTTCATTCGCTGTCTGCCTCCACCTTCCCAAATTCAGGAAATGATAACATATTTCACAGGCAGTTTTTATTTCATATTTATATAATTTATTTTTATAAACTCAGTATTTAAACCCTGAAGATATATTCTGTTTCATCAGGGATTTGTTTGAAGCCTGTTATAAGACTGGCATGTTATCCCAAGTGGACCCTTTTTTGACCCATTTGGCCTGCACCTAAGGTCTCTGGGGCCTGGAACTCTGCCTGGCTGTTGATTCCATTAAAATCAACATGGAAAAAATCTCGAGGATTAGGATTGTTTCAAAAGAGTTGAAAAGGGGATGGATTCAGAGAAGGGATACAGAATGACATTTTAAGATAACAGGGCAGCACCAAGATACATTGCCTACTGTGCATTCCATCAGCTCTCCTGCCGATCTGGTCTGGTTTAGTATTCAAACCCAGCAAGGCAGAAAACTGAAAGCTCTGAAGTTCCAGGTGTGGGCCAGGAACAGTGGCTCACATCTGTAATCCCAGCACTTTGGGAGGCGGAGGTAGATAGATTGCTTGAGCCAGAAGTTCAAGATCAGCTTGGGCAACATGGCAAAACTCTGTCTCTACAAAAAATCAAAAAATTAGCTTGGTGTGGTATGTGCACCTGTGTTCCCAGCTACCTGGGAGCCGGAGGTGGGAGGATTGCTTGAGCCTGGGAGTTGAAGGCTGTAGTGAGTCTTGATTGCTCCATTGCACTCTAGCCTGGGCAACAGAGTGAGACCTTGTCTCAAAAACATGAAAAATTAAATAAATAAATAAGATTCAAAGAATTGCTACTTTCCTGGGGTTGGCTGCTATCAGGGGCTTTTCCCCTGGGTACCACCCAGACCCCCATGAGTCATGGTGTCGACTCCCTGCTGGGCATGGCACTGGATGTCCCTGCCTGTGCCCTGGGTATGTATGAATCTGAATGTTGATGTTGTAAGGAATTTCTCTACTGGGCTTGATTTAAAAAGGTAGAACAGTCTTGAGCATGGACGTTTCCATATTGTTGATGCCAGCAGCTTCTCCCACCTTCTGGCTCAGCTGTACCACCCAGCACTGGGGTCACCCTGGGCATGGCCTGAACCCCAGGACACACTCATCTGCGGTGCTGGTGCTGACTGCCATCCTTGCGTTTGCCTGCTTAGAGCCAAGCCAAGGCCCTCAGGCTCTTGAGTAACTGGGCTGGTGGCTTTGGGAGTTTGTCACTTGTGGTGAGCATTTGCTCTTGGCTTCTGAATGTACTGTATATCATTGTCTGGGGGGTGTTGGTCAGGCCAGGGCACTGCTCTTTAGTTTTTGAAACCTTTTCTTCTTTTTCATGTCTCAGGGTTTGCTGCTTGGTTGATAGCATGGCTCCTGAGGGTGGGTTTTCCTGGAGGAGCTGGAGTATGCAGCGGCCACAGATGGGTTCGACAGCATCAGGGCTGTTGGCTTTCACCCGCTGCCTGGCCTGCTGGTGGTGGGGACTGAGGTCTTTTCCTACAAGCTTGGTAGTTTGATGTTTCCTTCTCTCTTTTCCCTGCCTGAAGAATGGTGAGCTGATTTATGGCTGCAAAGATGCCTGGAGCCCCGTGGCTGACTGGAGCGAGCTTGCACACCACCTGAAGCCATTCTTCTTCCCTTCCAACGGCCTGGCCAGTGGGCCCCACTGCACAAGGGCTGTGATCAGGGAGCTGGTGCACGTGATCACGCGGGTGCTGCTGAGCAGCTCGGACAAGGGCCGGGCAGGCACCTTTAGACTGGGGCTTGGGCCTCGGGGCCCGCGAGTCTGTGAAGCCAGCCCCTTCAGCAGGAGCCTGCGCTGCCAAGGTAGGTCCCAGCCTTCCCCAGGTAGGCGGTGGGGGCCGCAATGGCCTTGGGACTCTGCAGTCCCCATGGGTGGCCAGGCGGTCAGCAGAGCCTCCTGGGGGATCTGGGGATGCCACCTGCTTCCGCCAGGGCTCCCAGCACAGGGCCTACCTGCCTCTCACCCCCAGATGCAGACTTCCTTTCTTGCTTTTAAGCTGCATCTAAAAATTGCAGGACACATTTGGGCTGTAGGATTTCCCCCCAGAATATCATCCATATGTTGTGGTCCTCTCTGGTTTGTCGAATGTTTTCAACCATGTTATCCTGTTGGATCCTCATTGCAACCCTGGGGACAGGTTTTCCTTGACATGTTCCTTAGACGGAGAGAATTGAGGCACAGAAACCCTTCAGGGCTGTGTCCTGCCATAGTGGGGTGTCTTCACAAGCCTGGAGTAAAGAGACAGACCCGTGGGGCCTGTGGACTGCAGGACACCTTCCTTGCAGACAGGAGGGCGCGGGGCTGGGCCCTGGCCGCTGCTGTGTATCCTGACATCTCATGACCTGAGCCTGCTCGTGACTCTTGGCAGCCTACAGAAACCCCATGGTCTCTGGGAGCCTGAGACAGTTTGAAGACAATGGTCCTGCTTGTGCGCAGCCAGAAATCCGCCCACACCCTAGGCTCTGCCCTCTTTTCTTCTGCCTGTGCCAACTTTTTCTTTTGTTTTTTCAAGACACGATCTTACTCTATTACCCAGGCTGGAGTACAGTCATGTGATCTCAGCTCATGCAACCTGTCTCCTAGGTTGAAGCAATACTCCTGCCTCAGCCTCCCGAGTACAGGCACGCGCTGTCACACCTAATTTTTGTATTTTTAGTAGAGACAGAGTTTCACCATATTGGCCAGGCTGGTCTTGAACTCCTGACCTCAAGCAATCCACCCGCCTCGGACTCCCAAAGTGCTGTGATTACAGGCATGAGCCATGTCTGGCCAGCCATGTCTGGCCGCCATGTTTTCTCATTACAAGTAAATTTTGTGGTTGTTTTTTTTTTCTTTCTTGTTATGAAAGTGATTCCTGATCATTTCAGAAAATTTTGTTAAAAGTATGCCCATAATCTTGATATATAACTGCTTTTAAGAAAGCAGACTGTGTCTGGAGGGACAGATGGCATCACTTGCTGAGGTAGTCTGGGGGCACTAAGAGGTGGCACCACAGCACCCTGGGGCTCCTGCAGACCTTCTTGGTCATGGACACAGACAAGAGGGAGTGGAGCCGGGCCTGGCTGCTGGGATGTGCAGTTTAAAACATTAAGATCATACTCTACATGTCATTTTGTGACCTGACTTTTTGTTTTAGTTTTAGTTTTTTTTTTTTTGAGACGGAGTTTCACTCTTTGTTACCCAGGCTGGAGTGCAATGGCGCGATCTCAGCTCACCACAACCTCCGCCTCCTGGGTTCAAGCAATTCTCCTGCGTCGGCCTCCCGAGTAGCTGGGACTACAGGCACGTGACACCATGCCCAGCTAATTTTTGTATTTTTAGTAGAGACAGGGTTTCACCTTGTTGACTAGGATGGTCTCGATCTCTTGACCTTGTGATCCACCCGCCTTGGCCTCCCAAAGTGCTGGGATAATAGGCGTGAAGCCACTGTGCCCAGCCGTGACCTTTTTTACTTAATTACCATAAGTCTGTATCTATACCATCACACATATACATGTTTGTTTAGTTTAAAGACAAGGTCTCATTCGGTTGCCCAGGCTAGAGTGCCAATGGTGTGATTCTGGCTCACTGCAACCTCTGCCTCCTGGGCTCAGGCGATCCTCCTGCCTCAGCCTCCAGTAGCTGGAACTACAGGCATCACTACCATGTCCAACTAATTTTTTTTTTTTTTTGGTAGAGATGGGGTTTCTCCATGTTGCCCAAGCTGGGCTTAAGCAATATGCCTGCCTTGGCCTCCTGGAGTGTGAGAATTGTAGGCATAAGGCCCGGCGCCCGGTGATGACATGCATTTTATTCAACTTTTATTGACCACGCATGGATCTGCTGTAATTTTAACAAATCCCTTCCAGTTGGGAATGTGAATGAACTTTTACTCCTGTTTTCCTGCCCGTTGGCACTTTCATGTTAGGTCCTAGTGAAGTCTGCAGGTGACTACAGCATGTATGGACACCTTTATTACTGTGTGTTTGTCTGTAGTGTGGTTCTTTGTGGGAGATGGCTGCTCCCTTCAGGGGAGGAGATGGTCTGGGACTTGGTACCTTCCAAGCTTATCTGGCACGCTGTACAGCACAGGTGCTAAACAACTGTGAGTGGCAAATGAAGTTTTGTTTCTGCCTCTGTCCGTATGATGTAACAGATCCTTGTCAGTGGCTTTGACCACTGTCTGTGGCTCTGTGTGGCTGCTTCTGAGCTCATGCCTGTGGCCAGCCCAGGCCTTACCTGCCTCTCAGTGTGGGCTTGTGGCTCTGGACTCTGCAGTGTCCTGGGATTGTCCTCCCTTTAGTGGTCTTGCAGATTTAGGATATCAGCAGAATCCTTAGAAATTCTCTGCCTTGCGGTTGCAGTGAGCTGAGATCATGCCACTGCACTCCAGACTGGGCCACAGAGCAACTCTGTCTCAAAAAAAAGAAGGAAAATAAATTTTGTCCCCTGCCTTAGAATGAGGATTATGTCTCTAAACTTAAATCATAAAGTGACTTCCAGGGCTGTTGTGATGGAATCTGAAGGTCATTCTGAGAGTTGTGTTGGCGAAGGAGAGGCACGAGGCAAGACGCGCGAGTTTCTTGCTCTCTCCTTTGTGTTCGGCCTGGTGCATCCGGTGTGGTCCAGGCTCACTCCAGCTCCAGTAGCTCTGTGAGGCAGGAGCATCATCTCTGTCCTTAGCGCAGGTACAGGGTCCAGCCCTCACCTGCGGTGATGCCCGTATGGCTGAGACCAGGGTGAGTCCTGTGGTCTGCGCCGGCCTGTGTCTCCCTCCACAATCTTTGATAATCAACATGCTCTCATTTTCCCCTGATGTTCTCGGTAGGAAAAAACACCCCAGAGCGCTCGGGGTTACCGAAGGGCTGTCTTCTGTACAAAACCCTCCAGGTGCAGATGTTGGACCTGCTGGACATCGAAGGCCTCTACCCTCTGTACAACCGGGTTGAGCGATACCTGGAAGAGTTTCCCGAGGAGAGGTGAGGTCGGGCGGTCCCTGTCTTGGTGGCTCTGAGAGGAGACTGTAGGGGGGGGCAGGGTAAGAACGTGCCTCCCAGGGCACAGCTTCCTAGGAGATGAAGCACGCTGGCCACTCCCTGCCTCAGTCCTCCGCTCCTGGGTACCAAAGCCGGGCTCTGTAATTTAGTGCCTTGTGAAGAAGGAACAAGGTCACTTACTGGTTTCTAGAAAAGAAAGCACATCTGTGACCCTGGTAATTCCAATCCCTGAGTTGGGGCTGAGCCTGCAGAGGGCAGTGTTGCTCCACAGCCAAGCAGCCCTCCTGCAGGCCCTTCTGTGTCAGCCAAGCCTCAGTCCTGGGCTTTCACTGCGGGTCACTGGGCTCCACACCTATGCTGTGTCCAGTTGGGGCAGGGATCCTCTTCCTTCCTCGCTGGTCTTTACTTGCGTCTCTGGCGCAGGATGCTACTTGTGATGAACAGGAGATGGCTCAGCTTCAGGGCTCCCTGGTTCTGGCCTTGCTCCGTTCTGTTTAAAACCTTCCTGTTTAACATGAGGGAGATATATCTATTAGTTGTTTTTCAAAATAAATTGTGTGATGTTTAGTGGTACTGGGCTTTGTAGACTGTTAGCGGTTTCAGAAACAACCTCTGTGTGGCTTTGTCATCCTGTTTTTATTGTGCTTTCTTCTTCAGAAAAACCTTACAAATAGATGGGCCTTATGATGAAGCATTTTACCAGAAGCTGCTTGACCTTTCCACTGAGGATGACGGGACAGTGGCCTTCGCGTTAACGAAGGTTGGCAGACCCATCCAAAAACATGCTGTCTGCGCCGGCCTGTGTCTCCCTCCACAATCTTTGATAATCAACATGCTCTCGTTTTCCCCTGATGTTCTTGGTAGGAAAAAAACACCCCAGAGTGCTCGGGGTTACCGAAGGGCTATCTTCTGTACAAAACCCTTCAGGTGCAGATGATGGACCTGCTGGACATCAAAGGCCTCTACCCTCTGTACAACCGGGTTGAGCGGTGTCTGTGATCCTTAGATTCTTAGCACTAATTTGTTTTTTGTTTTTTTTCCATTACCTACCCCTGAGGTTTGAAACAGAAAACTTGGGATCTAAAAAAAAGTGGCTGAAGTTTCTCCCAGATGAACTGGTACAGATGATAGTACATTTAGGTTTTAAGGGGAATTTCCCTTGGTTGAGTTCTGCCCTGGCCCATCCCTGGTGGGATCAGGGCCTGGGGACAGCCAATCAGCAGCCCAGAACAGGCTCTCTACCAACTGTCCCTTTCTGCAAGGCCTTTGCTGGGGTGCCAGGACCCCACCTGTGCCTCTGCCTTGCCCCTGGCTATATGCAGGCAGCTTCCTTTCCTTAGAACCAAGGCCAAGGGACAGCCTTCAGGAGTCTCTTAGGGAAGAGGCCTGTCCTATATTTCCTGGGTCTGTGAAATTCAGGGCTCCATGAGCTTGGATAGGAAAAAAATGGCATCTTTATTTTTACTAAGCTTTACCTGGAGTTTAGCATTTCTTTCCATTACAAACATGGTAATGAGCCTGTGGGGTCAGTGGCACCCAGGACTTTGCCACTAAGAGGAAAAAAAGCAGACTTTCCATCTTACACTGTAGCGGCAGACACTTTGAGTGTGTTTTATTCATTACTACATAAAATGTTACATATTACTATGGGATGTTTGTTTTTAAAAATATTTTGGCTCAGCACTTTGGGAGGCTGAGGTGGGAGAATGGCTTAAAGCCAGAAGTTGGAAGCCAGCCTGGTCAACATGGTGCGACATCCATCTCTACAAAAGAAAAATGAAAAAATAGCTGGACCTGGTGGCGTGTGCCTATAGTCCCAGCTTCTTGGGAGGCTGAAGTAGGAGATGCAGTCAGGGCTGCAGGGAACTATGATCATACCGCTGCGCTCCAGCCTGGGCAACAGAGCAAGCCCCTGCCTCAAAAAAAATTTTTTTTTTACAGTTTTACCATCTGTATTTTATATTGAATATTTAAAAATGTTATTCTAAGCTGGGCGTGGTGGCTCTGACTTGTAATCTCAGAACTTTGGGAGGCTGAGGTGGACAGATCACGAGGTCAGGAGATCGAGACCATCCTTGCTAAGATGGTGAAACCCCATCTCTACTAAAAATACAATTAGCCAGGTGTGGTAGCATGCGCCTGTAGTCCCAGCTACTCAGGAGGCTGAGGGAGGAGAATCGCTTGAACCCAGGAGGTGGAGGTTGCAGTGAGCTATGATTGGCTACTGTACTCTGGACTGGGTGGCACAGTGAGATTATGTCTCAAAAAAATAAAAGATGTTGTTCTGAGAGAGGCTTAAACATAGGCTTTACTAGGCTGACAAAACCTTTACTGGACAACAAGCAGTGAGGAAACCTGTTCTTGAGTGAGCTGCCACTCCCCCCACGTGTGCGTGCTTCACTGCCTGGAGCCCTCGGCCAGCCTGTCCTGTCCAGTACGTGTCTGTGGCTCATACTTGGGAAGGAGCCCTCACTGCTTTCTCTAGTTGGGGCTGCAGCTGTCAGTGTTTTAAGGAGGACTGAGGCTGTCTGGTAGAGCCTGAGCCTCGGGTGAGCCTCTAACGCGAAGGCCACAGGGATGTTAGCAGAGGCCCAGGGTAGAGTTGTCATCCTGGTGAGGAGGGTTCCAAGTAGAGCCCTGGGGTGAGAATAAAGCAGTGAAGCCTGCCTCGTGCTGTCTGCAATTTGGATACATTGATTTAGGTATAAACAGCAGCATGGTGGGTTTTTTTCCCTAACAGAAGAAACAGGACTTTATTTCCTTTTATATGTTTCTGTATTTTTCAGTTTTCTACAAAATAAGTATGGATTACTTTTTCATTTTATTTTAATCTTTTAACCTCAACTGTAAATGTAGTCTTGTAAGCAGCTAAAGCAGCTATCACTTAACTAGCAGGATGGCTAAAAGAAAGACATTGAAACAACGCCAGCTGCAGGTGCAGAGAAGCTGGATCCCTCATCTGTTGCCCATGGCAATGGAAAATGACACAGTCACTCTGGAAAACAGTTTGGAAGGTTCCTTCACACTAAACATGCAGCCACCCTGCACTCGTGCTCCTGGGCATTTATGCCAGAGAAATGAAGACTAACACCGAAAACCTGTAGAGAAATGTTCACAGCAGCTCTCTTTGTAAGAGCTAAACACTGGACACCACCTACATGTCTTTCCACAGTGACCTCCAGCAGGTCACACAGACTGTGTGCATTCATATCAAGTCTTAAGGAACAGACTCTTGAGAAATAGCAGCCTGGGCAGATCTCCAAGGGGTTTGTTGGTGACAAAAACCAATCCCCAGAGGTCACACTGAATGACTCTGTGTATAACATTCTTGAATGATAAAGATTAGTGCTTGTCAGGGGTTGGCAGGGAAGAGCAAGGGAGGTAGATAATGGTTATAAAAGGTCAAACCTGGGAATCCCTGTGGTGATGAAACTGTTCTGTATCTTGACTATGGTGGTGAACGCATCAACCTATGTGGGATCACACACGCACACACACACACTTGCATACATGTAAAACCCAAGATATCTGAATAAGTGTGTGGATTGTATCAGCATCACTTACCTTGCTGTGATATTGTAGTTTTGCAAGATGTTGAGAGAAATGTGGCTTGAGGTCTTTCCATGCTGCATTAAATGGGCCTGCTCTTTTTCTCTTGTAGGAAATTAGCTTCTGGTAGTTGAAGCTGAAGCTAGGGAGTTGGCTGAGGACATTTCTACACAAAAGTTCTTGCGCTCATATTGTTTCTCTCATTGAACCTTGAAGGCTGGGCATGGTGGCTCACGCCTATAATCCCAACACTTTGGGAGGCTGAGGCTGGTTGATCGCTTGAGACCAGCCTGGCCAACATGACAAAACTCTGTCTCCACTAAAATACAACATTAGCTGGGTGTGGTGGTACATGCGTGTAGTTCCAGCTACTCTGGAGGCTGAGGCAGGGGAATTGCTTGAATCTGGGAGGCAGAAGCTGCAGTGAGCTAAGATTGTGCCACTAAACTCCAGCCTGGGTGACAGAGCGAGACTCCATCTCAAAAAAAAAAAAAAATTGAACCCTGTACCTCCAAAGAAAAGACCAAATATTTTCTTCATTTTAATGCTCAGGAAACTGAAGCCCCCAGTAACTCTTGCTTTTGTCTGTTGTGTAGTATCAGGTAGCAGGGGTCAGCAGACATTTGTAAAGTCTGGTCCTTGTTGAAGGTACCCGGCCTTGCCACTGTAGCTTAAAAGGAGCTGTGGAGAAATCATAAGAGAGGCTGAGTTCCAGGAAAACAAAAACAGGAGGTGGTGGGCTACATTTGGTCCCCAGCCCATAGTTTTCTGACCTCTGACCTCTGAGCACTTGTGATTATTTTTTTATTTCATTTTTTGCTCTATGTGTTTGGGACTTCCTCCTGTTTCTCTCCCTTTAGTGGTGTCTCGTCCAGTTTGATCCTGAATATTTAAATTCTAAAGTTAATCAGTTATTTCAGACTCTCAGTCCCCACACAGTATAAGGACTTGAGACACTTAGTTCCAGTTGTCTCTCCCAACTTATGTGTAGTATTGTCTTGTATTTTGTTTGTCTTGGTATTTTTTTAGTTATAATTCAAAGTATTATTTTACACAGGTGTTTGTTTAGATTTATTCATGTGTTTTCCCTTATCACTGCCTAACATTCTTGTAGCTCAGATCTTTTCCTATTTTTCTGTAACAGCTTTATTGAGATGTAATTTATATATCATTCAGTTTACCCGCTTAAAGTGTACAATGCAATGGTTTTTACTGTATTTAAAGATACGTGCAACCATGCCCGCAGTCACTTTTAGATTTTCATCACTTCAGTAAAAACCCTGTACCCTTTAGCCATCACCCCATTTTCTCCTCATTACCCCAAGCCCTAAGCAACCACCTATCTACTTTCTATCTCTGCAGACTTGTCTGTTCCAAATGTTGCATGTAAACAGAATCATTTAATGCGTGGTTGTTTGTGGTTGGCTTCTGTCACTTAGCCTCATGTCTTCAAAGTTCATCCATGTTGTAGCATGGATCAGTACTTCATTCCTTTCATGAACAGAACATGGCTGTTCATCCTTTGATGGACATGTGGGTTGTTTCCACTTTTTGGCTATTATGCTCAATGGTGCTATAAATACTTGTGTAGAGGTTTTTTTGCATGGACATGTGTTTTCACTTTTCTGGGGTAATATGCCTAGGAGTCGAATTGCTGGGTCCAGTGGCACTTTTATGTTTAACTTTCTGAGGACCTGGGCAGACTTCCCAAAATTGCTGTACAGTTCGATCTTCCCACCAGCAGTGTTTGAAGGTGTCTCTATTTTTTTCACATCTTGAGCAACACGTGTTATTACCTGCCTTTTTTATTTTAGCTGTCCTCGAGTGTGTGCAGTGGTATCTTGTAGTTTTGATTTGCATTTCCCTGAAGACTATAAGAGCATCTTTTCATGGGCTTCTTGCCCACTTATATATCTTTTTTGGAGAAATATCTATTCAGATCCTTTGCTCACTTTTTTTTTTTTTGAGATGGAGTCCCGCTCTGTTGCCCAGGCTGGAGTGCAGTGGTACAATCTTGGCTAACTGCAACCTCTAACTCCCGAACTTAAGCAGTACTCTTGCCTCAGCCTCTTGAGTAGCTGGGATTATAGGCAACTATCAGAATGCCTGGCTAATTTTTTTGTATTTTAAGTAGAGGCAGGGTTTTTCCATGTTGGCCAGGCTGGTCTCGAACTCCTGAGCTCAAGTGATCTGCCCACCTCAGCCTCCCAA